AACTGGCAGCAATGGGAAAATTCAGGACACACACAGCGATTTGCAGAAAATTTGCATTGAATCTCCCTCTCTCTCTCACTCTCTTTTCTGGGTAGCTCACAATGCTGTTCTCCATCATTTGTCAAAGATTATGAGCATAGCTAATTTGCACTAACTTAGCAGGAGGTTTCTTCGGAGGTTTAAGGCATCAACTGATGTTGCATGGTGTTTGAAGAAGTAGCAAAAGAATATGGGTTTTAGGGAGTTTTTGCCAAAAATAAAGACATTTTAGAAATTTGATATTTTCAATTTTTTGTTGGAGACCATTTGACTTCTTGAAATAACAAGTGTATCCAAAAAATATCTTATTTTGCCCTTAAAAAAAAAGAACAACAAACAACGACGTGGTAAAAATCTCTTGCGAATTTGTCCCCCCAAGCAATGAAATTGAAAACCAATTTTTTGCATGAACAAATATTGGGATCATGTTGTCATTCAGAAACAGACCATATCTGATTGCATTAAGTTGTTAATTTTATTGAGCCAAAGGAATTAGTTGAGATTCATTTTTGGCAAGCACAAAATTTTGGGAAACTGACAATACCTACTGGGAGTTGTTCAATCTAAGTTACAAATTTAATAGGAAATTATTTCACACTTTTATTTTATCAAAATAATTCAAAGCGAACTCTAAAATTCATGGTTAAAAGGTGTAGTGCCAAAAAGAGTCAAATTCTGAAATGAAAAATCTAAAGTTCCATAAAAGGTATCATCAAGATTTTCGAAATGAATAAAACACGCTTTCTAATCCTTAGAAAATTAAAATACTTCTTCATTCTAATTCTAAAAAGTATAAACCTTACAAATATATCTGAATTCCTTTTGGGAATGATAGTTCTTGGAAAGTAAATACAAAGTTCGCAATAGTTCAAGTGTTCTAGATAATTCTATAGTTACATCGAATACGGATTTTTTGTAGAATACTTCTTACTTTTTGAAACCACTTTCTTTTTTTATTGAAGGCCAAGGAACTGGCATTTTAAATTTTGTGGCTCGGAATTCAATATATTAATAATCAGTTTATAGGATTTTTTGTTCGACGCATGGGTCCATATTGAAGAATTCTCCGAGAATATGTAACACCTTTTAAAATTTAAAAATATAAAATTATAATGTTGAAACTCTACGCTATATACCTTATAAAAAAATTAGGGAGGTATAAAAGCCTGTTCGGAAACTGCGTTCGGAAAACTTCAAACTTTTATCAACCAGGAGGTGCAATTATGTGATGTATACAATTCAAAACTACAATAGGAGTTCTGTGTAACATTATTTAAGAACAATAACAAACCCTGCACCTAGATTTACAAAATTTCATGAGAACATATTTCTAAATGGTAATCGGAAGGCACCTTTCCTTCAATTTCGAAAGAAACTCAATTTGCCTTTTACACGAGTTTTCGAAATTATCACAAATTCACACATTCCTTAATTCCAGGCAAGTCTCCGAAAAACTCTCTCGAATTCGTACAAAGAGTGGAACTCACTGGAACTGGAGCGAGTGTGCTCCTGGGAGCAAAAACAATCAAGCAAACTCAATTTTTCTATTTCACAGAAAATAATTTTACTCATAGTTTAAGAAATAATCATCCTATTTTGATCAAACTTTAAAAATCCTAACATTTATGTGAATGCAGGTTAAGTGTGAAAATGAATTATATCGGCGCACTCCCGGAGAGATATTACCCACAACGGTTAATCCGGTTAATGAATAATCATAGTTCTGTGAAATAAGAGTGCGATTGTCTTCAATTTGCCCATGATAGTTTTTTTACCAACCCTAGATCTGTTATGAAGACAGGCTGGAGTGAACCACTACTCCTGGTACCTCTACCACAAAGGGTGTCATAAATAATCATCACGCTCATAAATCGCAAAATAAGCTTCCAATTTTTTTCGATCTTGGCAAATTCCAATATTTGTAACAACGGAAAATATAATATGAAAATAAGATATAGCGGGGTTAGAAGGACCCACAAAGAGTCAAAATTTGTCATAATTATAATTCTTATAAAATATAAATAAATTAATCGAAATGGTGCCTTAACTTCGGACCATACAATTAACCCTAGTGCGTCACAAAAACATTAACTCCCCATAAAAAAGCCACTATTTAAAATAATTGTAATTTATAAAATTCGAAATATACCTCATGGTATTGATATAAATTGATGTAGTAATTTAAAAATTTAATAAATTTTTTGCGAGGATTTAAAATTATAAAATATCGGTTTGAGAATTTCTTTCACGTGGAAGCAAGCTTTAACTTGACAAATTTGTTTATTAATGTGATTTTTGAAGGGATTGGGATCGAATGTGGCAATCTTTTACATAAGCAATAAGTATAGTTTCTACTCCTCTGTAATTTCCATAGATGTATAAACCACTAAAAGTTTCAAAAACTTCATTTTGAGAAAATAAGGAATAAAAAATATTATTACTAGTAGTCGAGGAATTTTTTTAAACTCAGGCTCTGAAATTAACCAAATTGTAAGACTTGGACTTGAATACTTGGGCTTCATCTTCTCGAACATGGTTCCAACCTCAGAATGAACTTTGTTTATTTTGGATCACTCAAAGGTCTCGGATAAGCCCTAACAAGCCCTAATGAAACAAGTTACAAAATCAAGTAAAATGTACATAAAACAAATTAGAAAAAAATAATTTCTCTAAACACAATTAGACTTCTAACAGGCCTTTTTATGGATTTTGTTTTTTCATGTTCACGAAATTTTCTTTAAAGAGGAAATATATAGCAAAAAACGATTAAAAATCAAACAATGTATTTAGGGAGACTATAACCCAATGTTCAGTTTTCGTAATTTTTTAGGTCCTAAGCTAGACCCTGCTGAGTCATAATAACTGCACTTCCTAATCGGTTTGTGAAGTGGAATTTTGCAATGATGCATCATAAAAAGCCTTGACTCCGAAAATATTTCCTTTTTTAGACAATCGTGGAATCGTTTTTATGTCATTCGAAAAATTGGTTGTGAAAGTGAATTTATTTTAACTTTACACTGAAGGACATTTGGGTGTTAATAATACATAAATAATAATAAGTCAAAAAGAAACACTTTGCAGAAACTTTATCGCCGCCTGGCTAAAATGTCTCATACTAAATAGTATTGACATTTGGGCTTACAGGTTGCTTAAAAGTCAAATCCACACAAAAATCTTTAAATTTACCCAACTTATTTCCAACGTATTAGATATACAAGAAATATGCAATCGAAGGATGGAAAACATTTCGAGGTTTTGGAAAAAATTTCAGCAGAATTAGCTGTAATTTCGTGAGACAGATCTATAGAGAATAAAATCTATTCCTGCAGAAAATGCCAATTATATGACCACAATTTTCGGTATTCAGTCCAATTTTGCAGCATTGGGTTTAAGTATAAAGTATCTTCCGATACAAGAACTTTTCTTGTAGAAACAAGTTTTGAAATTATCCCTATTTTAAGTTGTTCTTAGAGTCTTAGATTCAATATTTTTTAATCCTAATGGAGGAAAAGCCTTGCATGTGCAACAAATGCATTAGTTTTTTTTCTGATTTCCTCCATTTGACAGCAACAAACAACAATCGTTATCACATTTTTCGAAATAATGAACATTCATTTGTTATTGAATTATGAAGAAATTACTGGAAAAAAATATGAAATATTAGTAGAGTTTTCGTATATTTCGGCCATGTAATGGTTACTCTAGCATGTTGCCAAAAGTTGAAATCCAAATTTTCATCGGATTTGAATTAAATTTAATATTTCCACAAGATGATCAAACTAATCGAGCTCTCATAGTTTTTGATTCGAAAGTAAATGCGAAAGAAACAACACCTGCGCCCTGTGCATTTTTAAAAATTTTCAAGTATCTAAAATGATTATTTTGATGAGTTTCCAACGGAATGCAAACATTAATATAGTCTTCGTACTACATATGGTGAAGGGTATTAAAAAATTGACTTCAGACAGGTTCCAACGTAGTTCCATATAGGGTTCCTTAACATATTAGTATTTTTTAAATTTTAGACAAATAAGGAAATCTTAAAGTTTTGCGAAATTAATAAACATATGGCATAAGTATGACAAAAAATTATTGTTCAGGATATTTTAATTACAAAAAGGCGCTGGTATTTTATATTTATTTATTTTGGCTTCCGATTTTATTTACCTTAGATATGTTAGATTTCTATTAAATTTTAGATTTCTATTAAATTTTAAGTTTCCTTGAAGAAAAAAAGTCACTCAAAACTCATTAAATAAATCAATTTTCCATACAGTGCTCCTGTTTCTTTTCCTGGGGATATATTATATTCATAAACAAAATTTAATATTTTTAACGCAATTGTTTTTTTTTTTTTTTTAATTTCAACAACATTAAGCTCTGCATCATAGTCTTCTACTTTCATGAAAACCAATTTGTATTTAATGAAAATTACGTTGAAGTGAAATTTTGTTTTTCAGAGTTTCCAGACATGAAAAACAAAAAAATGCGAAAGGCAATTCCAAGAAGATTTTTTTTTTATAAATTTTTAATCATTTAAGAGTTTTGTGGCACATTGCGGAGATATTAAATTTACAAGATTTCTTCACTGATAATCTTAATAATTGTTTAATTCCAATGGAGGAGGGCGATGAGGTGGCGTAGGAGTATTGGCTTAATTCTTAATACCAAGAAAATACCTTTACTTTTTGGGAAAACAAAAACTTTTGCAGAGGAAAACAAAACACGAAAATTGCTTAAGGAAGTTAATGAAAATCTGTGTTTTTTTGTTTCTACAATGGATGATGATGATGATGGGGATGGAAATTATCATCTGTTAACAGTGATGCTAAAGCACAAGAAGCCATGGATAATGGCCGATAAATGGAGGCATGAAGACACAAATTCTCTCTCACACACACACACACACACACTTATACATATTTATACATAAATATCTATAAATATTCATAAATATTTACCTTTTGGATTGTTGTGGATGTGAAATAGCAAAGATGTTGAAGTTGCTGCTTATTTGAGGTAGTAGCTGTAAGTAAGCCACATCAAGCCGGCTTGTTGAAACGCTAATGCTCGTCAGCCATTCAGGGCTGGCTCTATTGTTGAGTTAGGTCTTTTCATTCACTGTTTTTCGACACGAAATGTTTCGTTGGGTTGTTAGTGGAGGAGGATCCGCTTTTTTGTTATTTTTAAATTCTAACTATTCGTTGTATTGCGATTTAAGGAGGCAAATAGTGGTGGAGGTGTTGGAGGAGGAGGTGTTGAGGGAACTCAATTAAATTGAAGGGATGATTTTCAAAGGAATATTAGGTGTAGGCTTCATTGGTGTAAGGCATGATATCTGTGTTATCAGCTTGGAAGGCTTAAAGCCGCAAGGCATCTTAAATTCTTTGGTAATACTAAGGCTAGGCATTTCAATTCCAGAGCAAAATTTATTTCACTTTTTGGATTGATTACAAAAATATTTTTTTCGATTTTGTCTTTAAGGCACTTTAGTTATATCTCTAAAAAAATTAATTAATTAATTTTCAGCCACTGAAATTTCGACAGTTGAAATTTTTTGCACATTTAATAAAAAAAAACAATTGTCAATCAGCTAGACCACCATACCGCCAACAAAGCTCAGACTCTTATCATGGCCAGGGGTTGTTGAGATCCCCACACTCACACGTATGCATGCACACACACACACACTCACACACCCAATAACACACTTTGGGCTCTCCCAACCTTTGAATCAAAATTCTAAACGGCAACTGAATTTGGAGTAAGCAATGCACTGGTATTTAATGAATAAATTAGCCACAGGCAAAGTATCACAGTGTCCGGCATTGGTCCCCCGGCCGCCGATAGCTGTGAAGTGACAATGATGCAAGGCAGCGAGCGAACTGGCTGGCTGGCTGGCTGGCAGACGACAACACTCAACATTGAACGAACGAAAGAACGAAGAACGATGATGACAACAGACCAAGCAACCATCCAAAACGAATGCAAAGCAGAGGCCGGCCGCATCGTTGGAATCGTTGTCGTCGTGGCCATCATCGTTCCCCCTACAAAGATGGCACAAATGTCTTTGGCAAATTAGGAGGACTTGTGCTAGTGTTAGATTTGCTGGCTTGGCTTGGAGAGAAGACGATTCTCTAAATCGTGGGGTCACACACAACAACACAACTCGCCCAAGAAAACGAACAACAGGCTTCTTGCATGCAATCGGGCTCCCTATTTGAGTCATCATCATCAACATGAACATCGGTCCTGGCCTTATTGCCTGGATGAATAGCTGGTTAGCTGGCTTTCGGTCGGGAGAGCAAGCGGTTGGGCTGGCTGATTTACTGACGAACTGGCTGGGTATGTGCAGCACAACTCTTTTCGTTTTTTTTTCTTTCAGTGGCAGTCTAACGTTCGCTTCCGTTGGCCTTTGTTAGCTGTCTGCTCCAGAAATTCCTGAACTCATTGGCATAAAGCCCACCAGCAAAGGCAGTCAGTCAGGCAGGCAAGGAAGTTAGCAGCCAAAGCTGCAGTCACCACTTGCTGCTGCAGCGTTGCGAAGATGTAGTCCAGAGATTTTTTACTACTCTCTTAGCAAGCGAAAATTTAACGCATGCCCTCTTAAACAAAATCCACACAGGCTCTCTTAGTTTCAGCCAAACAAGGGCTATTGACTGCTCCAGTTTATTTCTTCTTCGGGACGAGATGGAAAATGAGCGCAAACTTTTTTTCCACACGCCTGCATGTATGCATGTATTGGTGAGACCACTAAAGTGGGTTATTTATGTATTTCCAGAGCAAAAGCAGAGCAGAGGGATGGAAGCTTATTTTTGCTTGCGAGTGTTTTTGGGTGACAACTTAAATGTTATTGCCCAACCAGGCAGGCAACAAGCAAAAAAGACCCTGAAGCAGCTTTTTGGTATATGCCAGGGGTTAAATTTCACAGCTACTGGGATACGAATGAAGCAAGATAAAAGCTTTCTCTCATTTCTCCTCCATGGAGAGTATAAGAGTTTTCTATGCTTACAAACTAAGCCTTAATAAGGATTTAGCTGTTATTTTTCAAAAAACTTTTGAAATTCATTGTTGCTTCCGTGTTTTATTTCCACACTACTGGGTTTCTCAACAAATAATTTTTTTCCCGGTTCCAGCTCACAATATCATTTAACTTGAATGATTTTCGAAATGTAACCCCATCATATTTTGTTCTAGAAAAACATAATTGTTTCCACATATCGACCCCAACCATGAAGATATTTACATACTTCCATTTTTTTCTTTCAATAACATACCCAATTTTCCATTGCCCTTGCAGTAATGCTGTTAGGTATTAGGACCTCAGAATTTTTCAATGGCGTTATTGAATCGTTACAGACCCACTATGTGATGTATGTGAAGATTCGTTTCCCGTTGTGCTTTTTGTTTCGTTGGTTTTATGTTAAACAAAATTTTCTGTAATATTGTCATTACATTTTTAAGGCCCAGTAATATACCGGGGTCCCTCCGTTTTATGTTAGCCACCAAATGTTGTGGAATTTGGAGGCCTTGCAGCTGTTGCAAGTCGTCATGTTTCTGTTATTTAGATAATGTTTTTTCGTTTCAATGTTTATTTGATGACTGGAAATATTCGTTTTTCCTCAAGGCGGCCTAAAGAATGTCTGGTTATTGTTTGAGGCCAGATTATATATCGTGTTAGAGTTATTGTTTGAGGCCAGATTATATATCGTGTTAAAGTTGTATGTAATGTGACTTTTTCCACATTTTAATTCAAATTTTTTATAACATAAAAAATTTTTCAAAATAAAAATAAATGCTTAAATTAATATATTAATGGTATAAATTTACCTTAAGTATATTATATAGTACTGGACATTTTATAGTTTATAAAATACAGAATTTATTTTATGTTTGAAGATCGGTGAGTGCTAAGAAGAATTCTAATTCCCGGCGAATATCGACACTTCGGTATTTTTAGTGCCAACCTTGCTTTCCAAAATACTCCAGACACAATAGTCCAACGGATTGGTATCCATTCTGAGCTGGAAATGAAGCAAGGAACCACATTTTGTAACCACTCTTGTGTGGCGCGTGCAGAGTGCGATGGTGCAGAGTGCAAGTCCTGTTGGAATGTCCAAGGTCTACGGTCAAAATGTTGGCGTGCCCAAGGCATTAATACACCCTCCAGAATATTTTCGTCATAATACTCGGCGAAGCGGAGAGCGACTATCGGCTGTTATGGCGGGCCACACCATCACCATGGCCGGCACTTGAGTTCTGGTGGCTAATCGAAGGTGCACATTTTCAGCTGACTTCTTTGGCAAGTAAACACGACCACTGCGACTCGGTTTTCGATCAAGTCGCTTCTTTACTTTTCGAACTATTTCTGCTGGTGTTGCTGTTTTCTTCCGCTCACTTCCTTGACGTCGGGCTACGGTACCAGTATCACGGTAACTAGCAATGACACGAGACACAAAAGATTTATTCACATTTAAGTGCTGGTGTGCTCTAACGATAGGTGTCCCTGGAATAATTTTAACAACTGTCGAACGAGTGGCTTAGAAATGACAGGAGTCTGAAGTTGGTTGTAGCTATACGGCTGAAGGTAAAACCAGTAAGGAAAAATCAAAAGTCGGGCTGTACCGACTAAATGATACCCTACACCACTATGCATATTTAGTAGAGCTCCCGTAACAAAAGAATTTAATTATATTTTTTTCGTGGAGATCATACCACCTATCAACATTTGACTTAATAGCAGTTATAGTTTACTATAGAGTACATGATATTAGCCGAGTTGAACAAAATGGAAATGCCAAAATCCAGTCCATTTGGACTGATATTGGTATTGATATTTCGTGCACAATAAACCTGAAATCGGAGACAGACATATATGGAAGCCATATCCAAGTCTAAGCCGATCTTGACAACATTTTAGGCATTTATTTCTCAAATTTAATGTACTTGCTTCTAGGCTCAATTCGGTCGGAGGTGCCATCTGGTGCACAATAAACCCGAAATCGGGTGAGGATATATGTGGGAGCTATATCCAAATCTGATCCTATCTTATTTCTGAGCCGTAATTGATATCTGCTTTCTGTTGCGGACTTAAACACCAAATCGGACGAGAAATATATATGGAAGATATAGCTATATCTGAACCGATGTTCACCGAATTCGATTTACTGACTTCCAGATTGAATTTGGGTGGATGTACCAAAATTAAGGACTTTTGGACTGATATTGGCCATTTGGCGCACAATAAACCTGATATCGGATAAAGATATATATGGGAGGGACTTAAAACACCTAATCGGATGAAACAAATATATGGGAGCTATAGCTATATCTGAACCGATTTTCTCCAAATTTTGACGTACTTGCTTCTAGACTGAATTCGGTCGGATGTGAGAAAATTATCGCTTCCTTCTCTGTATTACAAACAAATGCACAAAGTCATTATACCCTTACCACTATGTGGGGTAGGGTATAATGAATAAAATCTGGAAATAGTGGTCCTTTTACGTGTGAATGTTTTAAAAACGATAGTGTGAATGTAATTTTTTTTTACAAAAAGGCACTTAAAGGCTGTATAGAAACTAAAAATTACGTGGTGACTTTCTGATTTGAATTAAAAAACGAAAAAAAATTTTATAGGAGAAATAAGAAATAAATTGGCGTACATAAATATTTCCAATTTTTCTGATAGTAATTAAAAATTTTCTAGAAAATTATTTAATTCTCGACATTATCACTAAGTGTGGTAAATAATATACTCAATACTGTAATTCATATGCAATGCATTCATTTTACAATATTCAAGAAATAAAAATAATTTTTCAGAAGAAAGAAAAAATGAAACAAGCTTCCTTCGTATCTGTCAACCCATAGCTTTTCATAAAGATTAAAAATACTTACAATTTTTAAGTATGATAGAAATGTTATATTCAATCTTACCTGAAATATAAGAAAAAGAAAAATGTGTTAAATTAACTCAGTTGTTTTGTACTAAGATTAAACCATAGAAAATATATTATAGGTACATGGTTCTGGCATGTCATTTTCGCGAACAGTTATTTGTATACCAATTCCATATACAGAGCATTCTCAGGTTACTGTTATATGAGGAATTGCGGAAAAGTAGTCCTACATTCCCAAAAAAAAAAATATTAATACTTTTCCGAGAAAACAAGTTAAAAAGTGTCTGTCGGGTTTGCCGACAGATATATACCCTCAGTCAATGTCCGACTATTAAAAATATTTTGACTTCTGGGGCAGGATTCTTGTTTTATGAAATAAAAAATATTTTCTTTATAAAAAATTTCTTTCCTTTATAAAAGTTTTCATTTCACATTTTCATAGAACAATAATTCAGGCCCTGTTATGAATATTCAAATGTTTAACCCCTTATGCAGTAGGTTCCGAAGGAATGAATCAATATTGGTCATTTCGTATCGGACCTAAATAAATATGATATAAATACTGCGACGTGCTAGGTTTGGACTATATCGACTACCTCCTTCACTTCACATGATATATGTGATAATTTTTAGAAAATGTTAACATTCCATTCCATGCTTGATCTAATACATATTAAAATATTGGTATGGGAAATATTACAAGCAATTCGAATATTTATATCCAATTTATAGAAAATCTTAAATTCCATATTCATCTCAGGTTTCTTGCAAAGAGTGATATATTTAAATATATCAAGCTGTAACTTGTTTCGCAAGTTATGACAGATAAAAGTATGGAAAATTGTGACCCTTTGTGAGTGAGGTATGAGAAAGTGTTCACAGATATATATAATCTGCACAACAGAAATTGTA